AACCGATAAACTGTGCTAAAAAAGCTCAGAAAAATGCAGCTGCGGCTAAAAAACGGATACGTAGGTTATTCGTGCTGGGGAGTCCGTTCATGATGCTCGAAAACATCCTTAATGATTGCTTTTCTTGAAAGTGCAAAATTTGAGGGTGACCTTATAATTATGAAACGCACTGTACTGATACTATTATTACTTCAGAAGTGGCATTAATACGTTGACAGGCAGAAAATTGCCAGTTCCTAGGCTAACTATTAGGGAGTTTATTCAGGAACGAATCCGCATAGGTTGACCAAGCCTCCTATCCCTCCGTGTCGGTCAATTGGTACCTGGCTCACCTGGAAGCGCACGTAGAAGCTGATTTTAATGTGTTGTGCATAGACCAGCTAGTCACTATGGGTAGATCATTCTAATGCCACCAAGATTCGAGTGGGACTGGTACAAATCGGTGCACTCCAAAAACGAAATTGATCGGTGTTCGAAACTTCTAGCCTTCCTAACTACATATGATACTGACACTACGAACTGCAGGAAAGTAGCCCAGCCTTCTGGAGCTCATATGAGCAAACCCGCTGCTAGCTTTAACGCATCCGAAGAGTGTTTTCACGAGGAAACTAGGATCGAGTGACTCCCAAAGGTATTATGTGGTAGAATGGAGTTCCGAATCGATTATCGCCCAGGCCAACCTTCCATCACTTCGGAGCCGATTAACTGGAACCAGGCTCGTCTTGAAGGGATAAAGCACTGACTTGCACATCGAACGGCCACCTCAAGTGTATAGGCCACATACGCATTCACTACGTCACAATAATTGTGAATGAAAGTGAACGCGGGGCGCATTCCTCAGACTAGATTGATTAACGCACTGAGATTTCATACTTTTTATGTGATGGGTAGTAGCTTCTGCAAGGCAGAAAAGTTTTTTAAAATCGGACACACCTCTACTTTACTAATCTATCAAAATCTACTAGATAACGATTTGAGAACTATTGCAATCTACTAAATAATATGGCTGAGAACAGTTGCAGGTCGCACCTGAAGCCACCATCGTATCAAAGTGCTGCTATGAGTAATTTCGATGAGGTGATTGATGTGAAGAAAAGCCACCAGTTGTATGCCGGAATATGGACAGAGAAAGAGAAGGTCAACAATCAGAACCGTTCCGATAACATAGATGTATTTGTGTCGACTCATGGCCTGCATTCGCGATCGCCTGAACACAGATAGATAAGAATGAATAGATTCAGGAAACTTGTTAGATGAACATTGACTCAGACCTGCTGCCGCTGCTACAGTCACTGCTTCCCTTTTTCGTGGTGCCATGTACTCGTCGCGTTTCTTCGTTGTTTAGCGTCCCATTTTCCTCTTTGAATCGACGAATTGTTCGAAGTATAAACGCGTAGCATACCTAGAAATGGTGTATACCGATCAGGATTTGAGAGGTTGGGCGACTATTTCGGCACAGATTTTATCACAGCAGAATATTTCGGTGTCCCTTATGTTGGTATGTAAACAACAGAGCCAATTCACGACTGATTTTTGTTTAAATAGGTATACAAATTAGACGACAGGGTGTCTGTAATTAGTGTAGGGTCCTACTATGGCAATAACAACCTTGAAGGTTTCTGTACCTTCTGTTACTAGCATAGATCAACCGACGCACCAATTAGACGGCTTAGAAGCTTGTTAGAAGCTCCGTTCAACTACCGCTTGATCCGGTCCCGAGAGCTCCCATCACATGCAATGAAAAGTTTACCGTACCTAATGATAATAGGTGAGAATTCAATACATATAGCTTTAAAGAGAAAGCTAGACGTCTACTAGACTGAAAATTGTTTTTGGTATTCGTTGGTAACGCTGATATTCATATTAAAAGCTTTGGCTGACGAAGCAGGTTGCTCAGCTACACGTAAAGTGACGCTAGTGTGTCCAACTGAAGGAAAAGGGAACTCGAATCCCTAGTGAACTATTATTGTTCATGAGGATAAGAACGGCAGATTAAGACTAATCCGGGGATTGTGTGCCGACCGAACCTTACATTCCCTGGGTCGATAATTGGTTCTAGAGTCATACGGGAACATAAAAACGCTAATTTCCCACTATGTAATTGTATGGGCCACATATGCTTTCAGAAACTCAACTACCATTATCATTAGGGGTCGAAAGCGGAGGCGCGCATCCCAAAAACAGGATTGATCATTACTAAAAACCTTTTCCTTCATCCTTCGTGCCCCGCTGCCGCCTTCTTCTTGTGTTAAAGTTAGGTTACTGCCAAATTTTCTGTATTCCTTCGTCAGAAGTTTCACCTAAAGGAGCTTTGACTCAATTGACCTAAAAGGAAAAAGCCTATGTTAGACACTCCGAATACTCCACAAAAAGGAGGGGATCATCATGACTGTGCACTGTGGGAAAAACAAAATCCGTTGAGAACAGACCAGAACAGACCAAAGGCTCCACTTTGAGTATACTGATATACAATAGCGCTCAAAAGTACTCGGCCAAATGCTTCTTCACTTGTACTTTTCAGTCATAACTCCTTTCCTACTAGATTCAATCAAGCGAATTTACAATACTCGTATGTGTAGCAGGAGTGTAGTGTGAATATTTACCACTATTAACCTGCAATCTGATCATGTTCCAGATATCCCAAGAGCTTGAAATCAAAACCAACTGGAAATACTAATGGTGGTCCTCCTAGGAGTCCTTTCCTTTTTAAGCATACGAGCAGTAATGTCGAACCCAGAAGAGAAGAAAAACGTGCATAAGATCGGAATAACCGCAGACGTCACAAATTTGCTTTCAGCACAGTCTACAAACACCTCCCCATTAGTATGTGGATATGGCTGTTCTGCAGTCGAGTAGTGTTGGACAGTGTAAAACATGCTTCAGTTAAACATATCAAAATTTCATGTGATTTGCTCCACTGGGAAAAAAGTTACGGCAAGTTAAAATTGGCCGAATACTTTTGATCGCTACTGTATCTAATTCATTCACTGATATTCTTCCTTCAAACACAGGACTACTCATCAGTGCTCAAGTTAGACCAAACATTTTAACATTAGCATAAAAACACCCATAATAAATAAATGGCTATCACGGATTTGATAGTATTCTTGGACAAAGACAATGATCACTCCTACGTATATGCTATTTATCGCAACTCATGCCGGCTATCTTGAAGAGAACATCTGAAAAGACCAGCTTACCACAACGATAGCTAGAACGAGGAAGCACAAGCCGGAAATCATCAGCATGCTGAGGGTGGCAATATCGATGTGCCAGGGTTTCTCATCTAGAAAATGTGTCGGAGAAGGGAAATGGTAAAGGCAAAACATAACAACTGTATAGAAACATCGCATACCATAACTCTGAAGATAAGGAGTGGACGGTGGAACAAGTAGTCCAAGGCCCATAATTATGCTGACGACCCAGCTGAAAGAAAAACATCTCACTCAATGAAAGGAATTTTCGGAAGTGAAAAGCAAAACGTTGGAGAATCGAATAGACGGACAAGCAACCAAAAACGCTGATCGCATGTATCTTGTTATGGCCACTCGCTTCTTGCTTCTACTGGCTGCATTTTCACATTCCCATCTATTAGGTTGATAAAACTACGTAAATATACCACCACAAGGTTCCATTATTAACAGAAAAAGCGTTACATATCTAGTGGGTCTCGTCTTCTATGGCTTTGTATCAGCACTTATCACATGTTATCAGTTCTTGGCACCATTCGCCCGAAGCCCTTCCATCCCACACCACCTACCAAATTACGAAAGTTCCACCGTTAATATTAAATGCGTTATAGACCTGGTGGCTCTCGCTTTCTATGGCTTCTTATCAGTCCCTATCACTTGCTATTATTATTCCCTGCCACCAATGTTATTAACTGTCCCATCACATCCTACACCCTCCGCCAAAGTTCCAAGGCTTCATCGCTATTATGGAGGAGGTTACGAATCTTGTAGCTTTTGCTTTTCAAGGCTCCTTATCAATTTCTAATGATTGTTGTCACTAGCTGTCACCGACTATCCGAGTTCCCATCCTGCCGCTTATCTCTCTTCCAAATTTGAATGCTAAGCTACAGTGGGACACGAGTTAAGAATTTCCGGTCGGACAAACACACACACATACACATATGTACATACAAACACACCAACAGGCACACTTAGCCGATTATATAAGTAAGATATAACAAGTTGGGCTTCTGGTGCTTAGGGACGAGTCATGTTTACCACTCCGATGAGAAAACTGGAACCAGTGCTTATGCTTTCGAAATACCATGCTCTCCAGTTCCTATCGCTGGTCAATTTGAACCTCTCCTGAAATTTTCGATGGCGCTTTTGCCACAGATTATAAACAGTCTGGAAATTTTGCTATCACGTTAATCACGCCTACGCAAGTGTGCTCACACCCCATAACCACGGAAGCCTCCATGTCTTCTGCTCAGAACCTTCTTTGACGATATTTATCAATGGAGCTCATCAACAGCAATCGTCCGAAAGAAATCACTGAGACCTATATTTTTCAGATAAATTCATCCAGTTTGTTCCTCAGTCTGAAAAAAACTGTCACCGCAGTAAAATGGTATTCTTTCTCTTTTTCGGGAACGAATTTTTTTTGCGGGTTTTTCGAGAGCAATGTTCACTTCCATGAGGTTCGGGACAAACTTATTTTTGCGCGCCTAACGCACGCAAGTGGACGTAAGTTTCTAGCAAGATCGCTCGTTCATTTACTGTGGAGTAAAAGTTACAGGAGGGTGGACCTCATACGCTAAGTACCTTTGAGAGAAATGTGACATGATTAATGAACACCCTTTAAATTGCAATCAAGAACACGGCTCCGTAATTGGGAACAGAATGAAGGGGACCACCATTTACTCCCAGCGGTGGGTACGTTATTTACGAAACATTTCCGCTTGTCGATCTCTCGACCTTGGGAATTTTCTCCACATAATGATGTCAGTGGCTCGGATATCTTATGTTCATCTACAAAGATGACCTTTACAAGGAATGAGAGTATATTTCCCAAAGACTACTCGATAAAAAAGCCGAATTCCGAATCTAAAATCAGGGACCGGTGAAAGCATAACATTACTATGGTTTGAGCTGTGGAAACTGATTTTCCGGGTATCGCCTAGTCAAAGGAGCCAATCGTTCAGAGCAGCGGTTTTCGTGAGAGCTCCCTGAAGCTGCTGTCATCCTGTTCAACACCTCTGATCCCTGTTCGGCTCCGTGGAAACTTCTGAATCCGTCTTTTATTCATCTGACTCTCTCTTGCTTGCAGTAACTTTGCAACAAATGCTTACATTATACATATGCTTGACCCCTTAACTTTGGTAAGCTACACAGAGAGCTCAGAATCACGATGTTGACCACTGCTATGGAAAAGGCATCCACATTTGTCACTACGTTATTAATGACCATCCTCCAATAGGAAAAAACAAATTAGCTGAGAAAGATTTGCCTCTACGACATTAGAGTAGGATCCCGTCTATTTAATGAGTATACATATGTATGAATGTAGGTGAGGCTTCTACAGGGTCAAAGAGAGAACTTGCTGTTGTGTACTGCTCTGAACAAAAGAAGAAAGCATGTGGGCATTGTGAAGTGAGTTCGAGAAATAAGGAAGCCCTCGGAAAACTTTCATGTCCCATGTTGAACATCGTCAATGCCGTGCCTCCTGTTTCAATGGGTTCTCTGTAGTTAGAGGTGACTCGTAGAGAGTCAATTTTTGAACGTCTATTCTGATTCTTTCTGTAAATTACTTCAGGACTCAAGCGTTTATTAACCCTTTGGGATACAGTAAGGCTTCTAAATAGACAGTAATTGTACCATACAGCACTACAGGGTGACCCACGTGAGAAGTGAGACAGAAAACTGACTTTAAAATTATAAAAATCAAACCAAATAGGAAACATTAACTTCAATACAACCATCACAAAAATTGTAAACACCACCTCTCGCCTTAATGCAAGCATGCAACCTCTTTTGGGAAATTCCAAGAATGCGCGCAATCACTTCCAGCGGAATTTCATCCCACGCTTCTACAGGAGACATTTTTTTTTAGGAAACCGAAAGATCTCGATTAAAGCGCAGACTTTTTGCTCCAGAGTCGACCAAACAGCAAAATCCAAAGGATTGAGATCGGGAAGTTTGAAGGCTAAACCTCCTTCGTATAAAAACCCGGAAGCGTGGTCTCACATCATTGCAGTGTCTTCTTTGCGCTGTGTGCTGGTGTCCAACCCTGCTGAAAGATTCAGCTGACGTTCTTTACGTTCTTCTCTTCCCAAGAGATCACCGCGTTCTCCAGCCAGGAAGCCCATGGGTCAATTTTTCATTGTCCGTCACACTTCATGTGGGTCGCCCTGCATAATATAATCCTGGGACAAGCAACACTCGGCCTTACCAGGTGCACTACCGATAATTTTCAGCAAGTTTGGGCTAGGCGATTGACATAATGCCCTCTTTATGAAAAAGACGTCAGAGCTAGTGTTGCCAGAATTGATGCTCTTCTCTCATACCCACGCCCCTGGCGTGCAACGTTGGTTCGCTGGCCCCCAGACTAGCCAACCCTCTATTCCTTCCTGCCCAATGATTGATACCAGCCTTTTTAGGAATGAAACCGCTCTGACTACATTATCGACTGACCAGCGCAAGTCAGAATAAAACAAATACACATCGAAATGGTACTACAATTCTGATGAAATTGATCACATGGACCTATCCTGTAAGGAATCATCTAATGCCAGTGACTGCTTCTTTTGTTATTTGAGAGCAGCAGCAGAAACAGGCACATTTTCTTATAGGGTGCGTTTTAATTTTAGACATTCATTTTGACTTACTGACTCAATCTTGAACTAGGCATCACCTTTTCTTTCTGAAACACGCGAGTAGTTAATCGGAGAGTGATTGTAAATATTCGCTCCACTATCACTTCGAGGTGGGTCCTGCTGGGACACTCAGGAGGAGCATCACCTGTTGGAGTCACTGAGCTTAGCCTCACAGAGGTCGAAAAACGGATAGGAAAAGGTGCAATGCTTGCGCTTCATTAGAGCTATTACTCTATTCGCATATCGCACAACAATCATGACAAATATTTCACATTTTCATAAATTTCATGGTGAGCTGATTAGCCAACATCGGCATCAAACCATCAGCATGAAAGCTGTTATACCTTGTTTTCTCCAAAGGCAGTCCACGATAGTTCCGGGGTATCTATTAAATTCAATTCAAGACGAAAAATGGAAGTGAGACCCCATGTCAATTAAAAAGTAGTGAAGAAAACGTCCCAAAACGACGTGTTTAGGGGAATTTAGGGCATCAAAAAAGTAGTGAAATTAGGGGTCGCACGAGAATGTGATGGGTAACGGAACTTCTCCCCTATCGCGGCATTCTCCCTTGCGGCTTGCGGCAAATGTCACTGCAATTACCGTACTCCCGCCAATCGATAGGACGCGGAATTTTTCGTTGATTGCCTTGCTTTTTTATTAGATTTAATCGTTTTTTCTTCTGTTTCTTTTTCGTTTTCGTGTTTATTAGACTTGATTAATTAAAATGACTCCTCTTATGTAAGCGGCGGCATTGAAATTGAAGGAAGCGGTCAGCCAATTCAAATAATTAAAGGACTCCCTACCTCACAAATTGCGCGCTCCAATCTTCCATCGCAATTCCGCGATAGGCGGCGGGTGCGAAGTCTGCGACGCCGTGTTAGGGGAGAAGTTCCCGGACCCGAATGTGATTATAGAAGTTGCATGAAAGGGCCACTTGAAGGGGCAGTTTAAATGCGCGCGCCATTGCCTACAGTTGGCTCCCTGCGTACAA